CTCTACTCTCTTTTCCAGAGTGGCTGCACCAGTTTGCATTCCCACCAACCGTGTAAGAGGGTTCCCCTTTCTCTGGATCATTTCTTGGGGTTTTAAAAATTCGATATAGTTGTGCTTATATTTAATTTAATTAGCACCAGTAGATCTTATTCCATTTGCAATTTAAGGACAAAAAAAAAAGTAACAGGTATATTACCATACGGCACAATTTTTGTTAAAGAGATTGTTCCTAGTGTTTGTCATATTAGACGCCGGTTGAGTTTCCTGCCCTCCTAAACATGTTTTAATATTTATAATCTTGTCTTCCTTTGGTGCCTTCTTTCATTGCATGTATACATGTCTATGTACCAAAATAGGTTGAATGTCATTTTTGTCTATGATCATAAACTTCCTTACCACGAGTTGGTTAATTTAAATGACAGCTCAGGCTGACAAATATCCTATTTTACCATTAGCAATTGGGCTCATTAGATCATCCTGTTTAGAGGCTGAGAGCAGGGAGAGGAAAGACCAGCAATATATGTTACGTGTCCATAAATAGCTTTTTGCATGAGTGGTTGTGTGGTATACTTTTTAAAGCTAACATAAAAATCAGGGAGTAATTGAAGCAGTAAGGACTGGCTTTAATTGCAGCAGATAAACCAGTACAGCTGGTGCCGTCAGGGTTCTCAGGAAGGACAATTTTTTGAGCCCACAAGTAGAAATTCTGGCGAGTGAGTTCTAATGTCTTTGTTGTTGCTGTTGTTGTTTAATCCAGGGAAGGAAACCTTTAAAATTATAGTACAGGAAAAGGTCTGCTCTTTCCAAAGGTCTACCAGGTTGAAAAACAGTAAAATGCAGGGAACAAGTAAAGCAATGTTTTTCCCAAAGTGAGATCTGAGCTGCAATTTTAAAAAGCTTATTGGACCCTATGCACATTTGTTGGTAGAGTCCTGGGATACTGAATTTTGTTCTCAAACAGGGTAAAGTGCCTTGGGAGTACATACTGGTGAATGCAAGCGTGTATGGCCGCACCCACCCTATGGCTGAGCTGTTTCTTCAAGAATTCAGCGAAGCAGTCTGGAATCATAACTGCCAAGCCCAGCAGAAATTCACCTGCACTGGAGTGCAGGATTTTGTGTGGCAATAAGCATTTTTAATTAAAAGTTTCCAGGATGATTTGGAACTGAATCTGTAAACACGTGGCAGATTTGAGCTAGCACATCCAAGCACCAATAGCACTTCGGGGGAAATACGGCTTTTAAAAGAATTTGAATGGTGAAGCTGAGAAAAATCCAGCTGTGTTTTACTTAACATCGCACTAATCAGAGTTCTTTGACTCCATTTTTTTCCCATCCGTGTATCCAGTGGTGTGGGTATTGGCTCCCGGTCCCCCAACCCTTCACTTTTGTCTTTTAAAGGCTGATTTTAGGTAGGGCTGTGGGTTACAGCACTGGAATGCTCAGTCGCTGTGGTGAGAAATGGAAAGCTTGTCTTACCTTGTAGTTTATCTCTTAAATAGGTCAGAAGCAGCAGGTAATCTTCATCAGCAAAGCAATTAGATTTTTAACCCTTACCTATTATGTTGCTAGAGGCCTTGGAATTTACATAGAAATCAAGGTGGTCTGCTGGCCTTAAAATAAAATGTAGAGAATATGGTATTCCTTAATTGGAAGTAAAATTGCTTCTGGAAAGCGGTTTCCCAATTAAGCCAGGAAACAATTATATTGGCACCCTGAATTATTCTTGCATAATGTTTGGGATGGTGGGGGTTGGAGTTAGAGGTGCAGGTGCTGAGAAGAGAACCCTGTCTAGGAGTCAAGGGATTCACAAGGTCCACTTTCAAGGCTAGGTTCCTTGGTGAAGGTCATTGGCAGACTGGACTGGAAAAAACTGTTTTAAACTCATATTATTCTCTCAATAAATCCACATTCTACTTTACATTAGAAAAGTAAACTGTAGTGCCATACAGACAGAGCTGATAAAACCCTCTAGTAAGCAGATCTAAGCAAAATCAATTCACATGAAGGTACGGGAGGAGGTAAACATGATTTAGAGGGGACTTGAGTTCCTAATGCTGTTACACAGAAATATTTGCCCAGATAATACCTCTCCCCAACCTCAAGCCATTCCCAGGCTGCTTGACCTTCCTGTTTACTGTAATCCTGCTTCCCTGGGAATTCTCTCTTCTCAGAGATACTTTTTCCCAATACAGGAAGGGCTTGTTTATTTATTGAGTAGTAATGTAGAGCATGCTAGTGACTTTGGTGTTCACTTCATGGGTGTGTCGGTGTGCACACACGTACATACATGCATAACAATAGGGGATTCTGAACTAAGTATTAATGATGAAATTTCAATAAGTAGGAGGAGTTTTGAATTCTAATTCCAGACGTCTTGGTTGTAATATCTGTTGATGGCTGCATTTGGAAGTTAAACCTGGGTTTCGAAATGAAATCCGTTTAGCATTGGAAATACAGTGAATAGGAATTTCATCCAGTTTTCTCTTTTAAAAAAAACGGTGTAATCCAGATAAGTTAATATAAGATAATACCTAGGAACATTAAACTAGGGTGAACACTGCAAAGGAAATAGAACAGAGGTGCGAGGAAGGTTGTGCTTGCAAGGCGGGATGTAGCAAATGCCTTCTGCTGAGGGCAGGGAATCACAGAGAAGCAAGCTAAAGCTGAGATTCGCCCCTGAGTTAAGAGATTCTCCTCCACCCCCACAGTTGCCTATGGTTTTCTTCCTACAGCTTTTGACTTTGAGAAACTGTTAATGGAAATGAGCAGGGACGTTGCTGTTCCTTCCTTTCTGTCTTAAGATGGTCATATTCGCAGAGCGAGCTCCTGAGTCCTTCAAACCACAGCCTCTCCCTGCTGCCTCCCAGCCCTACTCTCCGGATAGGTGGAGCACCATGGCAACAGGCCCAGCCTCGAGCCCAGAACCTTGTTTGTGTTACCTGAGGGGCCGGATGCAGCCTGAGCAAGAGAAGAAGGAATATTACCTATCCTGCTGCCTGTTCGGGAAGATGACTTCTTGTTCCCTTGTTTGTGTTTCTGTTCTACTTCTGTCGGAGCCTTGAAAGCCTTGACACTTGGAAAGCGTTTATCCAGAGATGTTATCAGTAACAGAAGGCAGCAGGGAACCTCTCTCCTGTTGGTTCTTGTCTTCTAAACGAAGACATAGTTCAGAAAGTGACTTGCTACACCGTGACACGTAGCCCCGCTATGATTTGGGGTTGCACTGCCAGGTGGCTGTACAATTGCTTCATGTAGGTAGGCGTTTATTTTGTTTAAAATAAAATTAGTTTATGTTTTAGAATATTTTCCTTGAGAGCTTTCAAAATAAAAGCGAGCCTTTTGTCATACCGCCTTCTATTTAAAATATACCTTAATCTCTCCTATCGGAAGGCTCATTCCCAGAGCATGAGAGACTGTTCCCTTCCAAACAACTTCTCCTGGGAAAAATGGGCTGGGATTACTGTTTTATACGTGTTTTTAAAAAACGTTACAGTATCCTGTTAATCGGCTCCCTGTGAAATGTACTGGGAATGGTTATACGGTAACTCTATTAAAATAAATTTTTTTAGCCTTTAGTTATTTATAGTTGATGGCTGTGTTTGTAGTATATAAGTTATTGTTTTATCCAATAGAACAAAAGGAAATAAATGTTACCTTGTTATATTTTTATGTGGCAAAACAGTAAGTGGCATTTGTCCCTTTTGTACGTGTTTTGTGTACGTTTTATCAATGGGAAATATAAATATTGACTTTTTGACCTTAGAAAGGCTGCTGAGTATCAGAGCACATGTTTTTCTTTATAAACATTAAATGGCAGTTGTTATTTTTTTTTTATGTGTGTGGACCTAAGAATGGACTCAAATTCTTACTGCTTAGGATGATTCTTACTATATGGAGTTTGATTAAACAGTGTTAGAATAATGTTAACATAGCCATTTCAAGGAAATAAATAAAGCTCCTTATTTACTGTTTTACAAAAACAAATGTCTTTACACAGGCATTTCTTTTTGACTGGGTTACTTCTGCTTAAATATATGTATTTAGTTCTGGGTGTTTTAGTCAATAAATTCTGTAATTATTGAGTAAAACTGCTTGGCTTTCCAGTTCTGGATCCAAGAATATTTCGCTTTTATTGCTTGACTTCATTAATTCTTCCAAAGAGAAGGCAGCGAGGGACTAGCTACTGTCATGGCCAGAATCATTCACAGCATTCGTCTTTAAACAACCAAGAAACAGAATCAGCCAGGATGCCTGAATGGTGTTGACAAAGATTCGTTCTTCTATATGAGTGTTTGAACATTTCTTTTGAGGGTGGGAGGTTTCTTCAAGGCATTTTATTCTTTATTCATGTTTATACAGTAAAGCATGGATATGACCAAATGCTTGCCAGAAAAGAATTCCATATTGAGATGGAAATCAGATCTTTTGAAAGGCAGGGTCTTGTGCTGAAAAGTTTGGCTTTGACTGTGTATGAGTGTGTTTATTCTGCCAAAGCAGCAAGAAACAGAATGAGGATTCAGCCACTACTGTTTTGTCAAGGATAGAAGAGGTTCAAGCTATAGCCTGGGGAAAAAAAAAAAAAAGAAGAAGAAGAAAGAAAGAAAAGAAATGAAACATGTCTTTTGATAATACTTTTGCATGAAAAAAGAATACATAAGCCAGTTGAGTAGTATGTATTTCTCCAAGATAGGCATGAGAATAAAAACATCGTGGGTAGTGGAGCTTCTTGAACTCCCTCGATAATGGTATAAAATTACAGTATGTTTTTGTGCTTTATTGAAAAACAAGCGTGTATGTGTGTGCACACCCAAATGTATATGTGGCTGATATGTGCCATGCGAATATGGTTACTATTATTGTGGATTAACTGTCCATTTGCTGCTTATTTATTTTTCCCTTAAGCATTTATGCATTCGTTTTCAGCCTCCCATGCATTCATCTTTCATTTTCCTGTTGGCCATGTAGTACGCTATCTAAAATATCTTTTTCTACTTTTAGGGCTCGTGGTCTGCCTAAACTAAAAGAGTCACGTTCCCATGAGTCCTTGCTGAGCCCTTGCAGTGCAGTAGAGTGTCTGGATCTTGGCAGAGGAGAGCCCGTGTCAGTGAAACCACTCCATAGTAGCATCCTTGGACAAGATTTCTGCTTTGAGGTAAAAAGCATAGAAAGAAGGAAGAGTGATTAAACACCAAACGGATTTTCTCTCCAGTAATTTTGTGATTTCATTACTATGGTATTGATGATTTGATCATCATTAAGTGACTCTCAGTTGCTGAAAATTACCTACTTATAGGAAAAAGGTTGGGAATCTATTAATCTAATTACATTGGTCATTAAAGTTATTAATTATGGCTTCTCATTCCTTTTGGCCTAGTCTGCCCTCAAAATAAATGTGATCTTAGTATATTCTTGGCAGAGGTCACAAGCCTAACAATAACTAAGCTAGTATTTTAATTTTTCAGTCTTTGATAAAGATATCACCCAGCATGTTATCTTTCTCCTAAAAATTTAAGCCCCCAACTTGAGTGATTCTTTGAGGAGATTGACCAAGACCATAATTTTCTGACCATAATATGGTTGGTTTGAGATCTGAGACTATGTCTTATTTATTTTTATAATCCCCTGCATATAGCCCAGTCCCTGGCACATTGCAGGTGCCTAAATTCTTGAATGGATAAATTAATTGCCCTTCACCAGCAAATTATGACTATCACTTTTTATAAGGTAATTTGTCCCTCCCAAACTAAATGTAAACTCCCTCCTAAACTAAACTATTGGCCATTTGCAATTTAAAATTTAAAACTCTGGGGCGCCTGGGTGGCACAGTCAGTTAAGCATCCGACTTCAGCCAGGTCACGATCTCGCGGTCCGTGAGTTCGAGCCCCGCGTCGGGCTCCGGGCTGATGGCTCAGAGCCTGGAGCCTGTTTCCGATTCTGTGTCTCCCTCTCTCTCTGCCCCTCCCCCGTTCATGCTCTGTCTCTCTCTGTCCCAAAAATAAATAAACGTTGAAAAAAAAAATTATAAAATTTAAAACTCTGTGTGTGTGTGTGTGTGTGTGTGTGTGTGTGTGTGTGTGTATAATTGTTAGGGTTATGATTTGATTAATTAACATGAACTTACTAAGTAACTAGTGATGAATCTCATGATAGATGGCGTGGAAGTTGAAAGGTGTTTGATTCCTGTTCTTTGGACCTGCCCTAGCCCAACGAAATATAATGCAAGCCAAATATGTAATCCAAAATTTTATTAAACCCAAATATCATCGTTTTAACATGTCACTAATATAAAATTATCAATAAGCTTTTTTACATCTTTTTTTTTTAAAGTTAAGTCTTCAAAAGCTGATGTGTATTTTACATTTACAGTACATCTCATTTTGGACTAGCTACATTTCAGGTGCTCACTAGCTACCATATTGAACAGTACACATCATAATCTGATCTGATTTCACTGGGTTATAACCTTAGGTTGAGTTAATATGTGAGCACACTTCAACAATTTGAACAGGTCATTTATTGGTGTTCTTTTTTACAGAAGTCAATTGAATTTTTTTGTATTTGTGGAACTCAGTTCAACAGGCTGTACACCAGGCCCAGTGTTAGGTGCTAAGGTATATAGATAGCATAGTTCATTTTTAAAGGACAATGATAACAGTGGTCAGTAAGAAATGGGTTCCAAAGACAGTAATTCAACAGTGCTAACTCTTTTTACTTTCACTTAGTACCTGTTTTGTAATATTATAGTGAAGGCAGTCCTGAGAGATTTGACAAGCTGTTTTAGAGGCTCTCTTGTGTTTTCAGCTATTGTTTTGTTAACTCACTCAGAATCGAGCAGATTTGTTTACAAGTGTTGAAGATGTGGCCTGAAGGTTTTTAATTTTGATATTTCTGAACTGAAGGCCAGTTTTAAGTTCCTGACCTAAATTCTCAATGGCCTTTGTTCTCCTACCTGGAAATGCATACGGATGCTACCTACATACGAGAACAAAAAGCAGATGTAGGTGTAGAATATAGACATCGCAGAACTACCAAATATCATTTCTGTTTTCTGAATTATGATTTGGGTTCATAGCATATTCCTAAACTTTTAAATGATACAATGATGAAAACACAGCCCGCAAGCCCTATGTTTCCTTTTCTCTAATCTTTTATGTTGAAGGTTACCTACTTAAGTGGAAGTAAATGCTTCAGCTGTAACTCCGCTTCAGAGAGAGATAAGTGGATGGAAAACCTTCGTAGGACAGTTCAACCAAATAAGGTAATAGTGGCTTTGAGTGTCTAAAAATGTGTAACTCTGTAATCAGTAAGTTGATAGAAGGTAAATGCAGCAATCATACCTTAATTTTTATAGTGCTTTTAAAGCACATTTACACATGTTGTACTCAAAATAATCTTATTGCAGATATTATTGTGATTTTACCAAAATGGGTAAGAAGACTCCGAAGTTGGGGCGCTTGGGTGGCTCAGTCGGTTAAGTGTCTGATTTCGGCTCAGGTCATGATCTCACTATTCGTGAGCTCAAGCCGCACATCGGGCTTTGTGCTGACATCAGAGCCTGGAGCCTGCTTCAGATTCTGTGTCTCCCTCTCTCTCTGCCCCATCCCCTCTCATGCTCTGTCTCTCTCTCTCAAAAATAAATAAACATTAAAAAAAAAGTGACTCTGAAGTTATGTGACATGCCCATGTCCGAAGCTGGTGCACGACAGAAATGGGACTAGAACACTAGTTTCTGAACTGCTTCTTTTTTTATTTGCAGAAACTAGGCCAGTTGCCACTAGGCTGGCTATATTAGAACTTACATGATATTTTTTTAACCCAAGTAAATTGAGTACATAAGGCTAAGATTCTGATATCTTCTTGTTTAGAGTTTGCTATTATCCTGAACAAAGAGCTAGCAATCCCTTTCATTATTTAATGACCACCCTTAATAAAGTATATAGTCAGTATCACCTCCTGTAAAGGAAAATGTTGTTCTTCTGGGATTTCAGCTTTCAAACTCGAACTCGTTATTTTTTTATAGGACAATTGCAGACGAGCTGAAAATGTTCTTCGTTTATGGATCATTGAAGCCAAGGACCTTGCCCCTAAAAAGAAATATTTCTGTGAACTGTGCCTTGATGATACCCTCTTTGCTCGTACAACCAGCAAGACCAAAGCAGATAATATTTTCTGGGGCGAACATTTTGAATTCTACAGCCTTCCACCTCTTCATAGCATCACAGTTCACATTTATAAAGATGTGGAAAAAAAGAAAAAAAAAGACAAGAATAATTACGTCGGGCTAGTCAACATTCCCACTGCCAGTGTGACTGGTCGCCAGTTTGTAGAAAAGTGGTACCCAGTGAGTACCCCTACGCCCAACAAAGGAAAGACAGGCGGACCTTCTATTCGGATTAAATCGCGGTTCCAAACTATCACCATTCTGCCTATGGAGCAATACAAAGAATTTGCAGAATTTGTCACCAGCAACTACACCATGCTGTGTTCTGTCCTTGAACCAGTAATTAGTGTGAGAAATAAAGAGGAGTTGGCTTGTGCCTTAGTGCACATTCTTCAAAGTACCGGCAGAGCCAAGGTAAGTGGAAAAGGAGGGTTACATTACCCAAAATCTCTTCCCTACATTTTATGAACAAATAACCATACTATGTTTGGTATAGAGATCCAAATTGGAGAAGTACGCTTTGCTATCAGTAAAAAAAATAAAAAAATAAAAAAGTAGGAAGGAAACCTATTAGTAGTTGTCACATGCAGAAAAGATGGGGATTATAAAACAAAGAAGTAACATGGAGACACCAACAGATATTTATTTAAAATCCATTTGCGCGAAACATAGATACCAGGGCTAGCTCCTTCTTATCTGACAGAACAAATGGTAGAATTGGTGTGCTAATCTCACAGTGTGTTCAAGATTATCTTTAGTTCCAGAGTGTGCTGTATGATGGTTTTGCTCCTCACTATATATATTTTTTTAATGTTTATTTATTTTTGAGAGAGAGAGGTACAAAGTACGAGTGAGGAAGAGGCAGAGAGAGAGAGGGAGACACAGGATCCGAAGCAGGCTCCAGGCTCTGAGCTGTCAGAACAGACCCCGATGTGGGGCTCAAACTCATGAATTACGAGATCATGACCTAAGCCAAAGTCAGATGCTTAACCAACTGAGCCACCCAGGCACCCCACCTAACTATGTTTTAAGTTAAGATTAACTGATGACTCTATTCCCTAGTCACAGAAGTAGGAATTCCAGAAGCATAGTGGGCATCAGCAAGAGTCTTCATGGAATTAAAATCCCTTGGTATTTCCAAGGGATATTATTTAACTGGTAGCTGTTTGATGACATTTTTTTTTAATATGAAATTTATTGTCAAATTGGTTTCCATACAACACCCAGTGCTCATCCCAAAAGGTGCCCTCCTCAATGCCCATCACCCACCCTCCCCTCCCTACCACCCCCATCAACCCTCAGTTTATTCTCAGCTTTTAAGAGTCTCTTATGGTTTGGCTCTCTCCCTCTCTAACTTTTTTTTTTTCCTTTCCCTCCCCCATGGTCTTCTGTTAAGTTTCTCAGGATCCGCATAAGAGTAAGAACATATGGTATCTGTCGTTCTCTGTATGACTTATTTCACTTAGCATAACACTCTCCAGTTCTATCCACGTTGCTACAAAAGGTCATATTTCATTCTCTCTCATTGCCAAGTAGTATTCCATGTTTCATGATAGTTTTATCTAACTTCATCCTGGATAGAAGAAAAAATTGAGGAAGATGGAAAAAAAAAAAGGAATATACTAATTATATGAAGAAACCCACCCAACTGATAGACTCTGTGATCAGCCTGAACTATGATAATTACCATCTCTATGACCCATATTCACTAGCCTGAGTCTCCATTATGTTGTATGCAAATGGATTATGGTAAAACCGTATTTTAGATGTAGAAGATTTCACAGCTAGAATAATTTATTTAGAACCAAACAATAAAATTAAATGCTTTTAAGGTTTCTTGATATAAATCAGAATATATCCATATATCCAATTAATAGTCCCTTATCTAACTGCCTTCCTACTGATTATCATTTTTGTAGTTGAATTTTGTGATAATAATTTTAAGTTTTCTAGTGTTACAAATAGCTTACAGGTTTGGGGTCAGGTGTCATTGAAATTTTGAGTCTCATCTCTGAAATTGTACAGATTTGTTCATTCTGCTCTTCTATTACTTGAGGTTCAAGGATATGTATGTAGGATATTTTTCAACAACCTTATTGAGATACAGTTTACATATAATACACCCATTTTAAGTGGAAAATACAATGAGTTTTGCATATAATGTACCCTGGGAAACCACAACAATCAAGATAAAGAAAGTTACCTTCACCCCAATAACTTTCCACCTGTTCCTTAGTATATGAGTTTTAATAGTGACCCCTCACTTTGTTGAGCTTCCCCAGAGTAAATCCCATTAATGTTCAAAATGCTTAAATTTAAAATAAAAGTAAGTCAGCATATTTCCTTTGTTTTTGGTTTTGGAGACTTTGAAATATACAATGGATATATTACCTCCATTGTATGTATATATACATATATATCACAAATACATGATGTTGTTACATTTAAACTGAACAACAGTAAACATTGAATTTTACATCAAGTTAATTTTTTTTGAGTTTATTTACTTATTTTGAGAGAGAGAGAGGGAGGGGCAGAGACAGAAGAAGAGAGAGAATCCCAAGCAGCCTCTGCGCTATCAGCCCAGAACCCGACATGAGGCTCGATCTCACAAACTGTGAGCTCATGACCTGAGATGAAATCAAGAGTCAGATGCTTAATGGACTGAGCCACTCAGGTGCCCCCATCAAGTTAATTTTTAGGACTGTTGGGAAAAGGAGCAGTTATTTCTTAAGGGCTTTATTTCTCTGTATGCCTTTTTCCTGGTTGGATGGATGGACGGAAGGATGGATGGATGGAGGTAGGTAGGTAGGTAGGTAGGTAGGTAATCAGCCTAGAAAATGAGTTGAAGTGCTAAGTTTAAGAAATTCCATGTTGACACTGTGGACCAATTTGTAACTATTATATATTGAACACCTAATATGTACCAGAAACTATTAAATGCTGAAAATCTAGAGATGACTAAAAATACACACTGTCTTTGGCCTCATGGGGTTTATAGTCTTCTGGGGAAAACAGATAATAATTGAGTACTTACAGAAATAAATGTGTGATTACAGTCAGAAGTACAGAGAAAAAAAAAAAAAAAAAAAAGACATAGGCACTACAAGAATGGGGAATACGGGACCTGACTGATGCTGGTCAGAGAAGGCTTCATTAGAATTATTTACACTGGGATCCATTGAATACCTCCAGCTAGGCACGGAACAAGGGTGGGAGTGAAGCAGAACTGAGAACAGCATTTCCAGAAGCTTTGTGGTAAATAGCATCTTGTGTTAAAAAGGTCTTGATATATTCAAGGGCCTAAAAAAAAAAAAAAAAAAGCCCATTGAAACTGGGACAGAATGCAGGGAATGGTATATGAGGAGGTTGGGAAGGTAGACAGAAGCCAGAAAATGTAGAGACTCGTAGGCCACATGCAAAAGTATGGTCTTTATCTAAAGTGTAATGGAAAACCTTTGAAGGATTTTTAAACTTAGAGCTGGTGGTACCTAAGCTTTTATCCTGGCTGACTTTTTTTCTTACAAATGAATCAGGCACCTTTAGTGTTAAAGCAGCATTTCCAGGATGTCTGATATTTCATCGGTTTCTTCTAACATATATTATTTATTCGGTTGCTTTGTGCCTGACTGAACATTATTCCACCAGGATTTTCTGACCGACTTGGTGATGTCTGAGGTGGATCGCTGTGGAGAGCATGATGTCTTGATCTTCAGAGAGAACACCATTGCCACCAAATCCATTGAGGAATACCTCAAGTTGGTGGGACAACAGTATCTTCATGACGCATTGGGTATGGAGAAGCAAAACATTGCTTTCTTTGCCTTTCAATTTTGTTTTTTCACCCTCGTAGGACAAACAGATTGAACTCAAGTTCAGCAGGTTACTAAATCCTAGCTGACTAGAGTGTTAAAGTTTGAGTTTCAGCTGTAAGCCTCTGCACTACTCACCAGTAGTACTGGTTTATTGCACGTTGGTTTATTACAATAAATGTACAGAAAGAGAAAGCCCATCAGTATATGCTGCAACTCCCAGGCGCTCAAGTTCCTGATGCTGAGATACACACCATGAGTAATGTCACTACTAGATCTGGGGGCACCCGTTTCCCCCAAAGTGTTGGTTATTTACATTATGATATAAATAGGTTATGTAATTCTTGAAAGTGTTAACATTTGTTATCATGCATTGAAAGTGAAAAAACTCTTACCAGTTCCCACAGCTCCCAAGTTTTGCCTTCAAGATCTCCAGAATTTTTAACAATTACTAAATTTTGCCCAGTCAGTAGTTTTGCTGACTAGGCTACTCACCTAGAATTCCAGATCTGGTCTTGAAATTCACTCAGTTAACCTCTAGAGTAAGGCACTGGGCTGGGTGATATACATCATGATAAGGCAGATGTGAGTTTCTTGAAGAACAGTTTCTTTTATCTCCATATCCCCAGTACTTCCCACAGAATGTAGAGCAGTACCATTGTATGGAAACATAATGTGAGTCGTATGTAATTTAAATTTCTTAGTGGTCACAGTGTTTTTAAAAGGGTAAGGAGAAACAGGCAAAATTAATTTTATTGATATTATAGTTAACCCATTATATCCAAATACTATTTAGCAGGCTATCAAAATAAAAGTTATTAGTGAGGTAGTTTACTTTTTTTTCATACTAGCTCTTCAAACTTTAGTGTGTATTTTGCATTTATTACACATTCCAGTTTGCACTCGCCACATTTCAGGTGCTCAGTAGTCACATGTGATTATGAAGGTTAGACAGTTATGTTGAATGAATGGATAGATTTTTGCCCTCAAGGATTTTATAAGATAGGGAGATAAGAAAGATAAGGATATCCCTATAGCCAAAGAGAGAGAGAGAGAGTGCGAGAGATCCTGTGCTTTTTCAAAGAATTAAAGAAATTATTGTAGCTGATGGGATTATGGAATTTCCCATGTAAAATACATAAACAATGTGTGTGTGGCTTGAAAGGCAGAAATGTTAAATAAAAACAGATACTGGACAAGGGAAGTGGTAGGGATTGGCATAGGGAAAGAATCATACTGATAAAAAGGCACAGCAGTATGAGAGAGCCAGGCACATATGAAATAAAACCAATTAGCTAAAAAATGAAATGAAAAAGACAAGTCAACAACAACAAAGAAGAAAAACAATTAGAACCAAATTGTTGAGAGCGTTGAATACCAAGCTGAGGGGTTTAGATTTTAACAGTAATCACTGGTGAGCCACTGCAGGTTTTGAGCAGGCTGTTTTCAATAGAATCAGTTTAACAAAGTGATTAAAATGGGTTGGTGAAGAAAGCAACTGAAAACAGAGACCAGTGAAGAAGCCATTGTAAGAAGGAGGGTAAGAAACCAAGAGCCTCTGATTGATGTGATCACCAAGAGTAAGAGGTAAGGTGGATCTGAGAAATATTCAAGAAGTTGAGCTGATGGGACCTGGCAACTTCAATTTGCGAGAATATGCCAGGGTTGGGGGTGGAGACCAGTTATTACAATGAATATTGGGCCTTGGTTACGAGAAGGATGATGAGGTTCTCAACAGAGGTAAAGAACACAGAAGTAGTAGGCTTGAAAGATGGAAAATGATATTTCCACTTCATGGGTATTCAATTTGAAGTTCTAATAGGAAATCCCAGGGGTTCTAGGTAAGAAATCTCAAGACATTTGCCTAGGTGTCTCCTGGAAATTTAGGACCGAGTTACCCATGTGGAGGGATAAATGAAGCTACAAGATTACAAGAGCAGAAAGAGACTGGGCCAGAGACAGGTCTTACAGTGCACCTACGCTTGTGATATAGATGGAAGGAAGAGGAGGAATCAGGAAAGTGATCACAAAGAAAAAGCATGCATGCGCACATGCACACAAAGCAGGAAAACCAGGAAAATCCTGAGTCCTAGACACCAAAAGAAATGAAAGCAGCAACATCCTCAAGAGATTGAGGAAGGTAAAGGTTAAAAAAGAAAAAATGGCTGTTGCATTCGGTAACTTCACTAGTGGTGGCTGGGACTGCCATCAGGAGGACAGGAACTGGGTTGTACAGGGTAAAATGTGAATGACTGCTCAAGAAATAGGACCATCGTGCTAACAAGAAGTAGACTCACTATGGTAGCCATTAATTCCCACTCTGCAGAAGTAAATTATTTCTCTTCCTGCGTCCTGTCTTCGTATTCTTTTCTCTACGTTATGTGCTTTAGTTTAAGATCTAGTGGGAATTTACAAGAATAGTGAATATGGATTTTCATTGATACGAAAGTTACAGAGATTCATAGTCTCACATAAAGAGCTTTCTACAGTCATATCAGAAAGTATATCTCATGGCTTCCTTCAGTGATTTGTATTGCCTTCTAAAAGGCAATGATGAAGCATCTCAACCACACGTAGTCTCCATTATATGGACATAGGGGTAAATTATGTGTAGACCACCTACCCCTTAAAAATCAAATATCTGTATTCTGCCATTCAGGATTTCCAAATAAATAATTTCCAAAGTGAAAAGTAGATGCAAGTACTTTGATAGGACTGTGAATAATTAGTTGATGGGCTAAATGAGACATGAAAATTCAGTGTGCATGGGAACAAATTCACATAACCCCACAAAGATCTCTTCCAAGAGCAAGGACCAGGGTAGTGAAAATAGCTGCCGCTTCCGAGCGCATAAACAAAATTAATTGGTAAGCTTCTCCAGGGCAGAGATTCTCCTGTCTTCTTCCCACTTAACTGCCCACAGTTCTAGTTAGCCTTTATATCTTAGACTCTCAATGGCTGATTTTTCTGCTATATTTTACTTTTATAACAGAAACTGCCTTTTGAAAACAACTTACAGAGTATCTGTCTTGGAGCCAGTGTAAATTCAGACTTATTTTATATGGTTTGACATAGTAATAAGTGAATTTTCAAATAGTAATCCTGAAGAACTGCAAAATTTTCAGTTACCTTATAAAGATTGAATTATTTTTGTCATACAAGACTGTACTTACTATGGCAGGAGCCTCTAATCCTTCAGTAAGTATCAAAGAAAAAGGCTTCACAGTGAAGTCTCCGTAAACCAAAAAATTAAATTAATAAGGACAGCTGAGCACTCAGAATAATTAAAGTTCAGTTATATTTCATACACTTTGGGCAAAAAAATAGATGTTCTTTCCGGACTGCCTGAAGAATTCTCAGAAAACTCAGTTAAAAGTTACCAGTCATATTATACAATATGTATTTATCTTGATTAAGGCATTATTACGTACTGCACAGACATAACTGAGGTGGCTCAGTTAGACTTGACTTAAAGCTTCCACCTGTTAACACCTTTTACCTTTGTGACTAAAATCAGATTGCATGTTGATACCCTGTGACACACAGAAATACCATCTATGAGATACAGAAAAGCCCCTGATTTCCACCCTTGGTGACAGAGGCAAATTTTATTTTAGCAATGATATGGCCATACCTACTGACTTATTTATACACAATTTGGATGCTAGATAGTAATGAGTTCATGATTTACATAGAAAACACGCCATAGAACGTTCTAGGTACAAAGTCACATTTAAACAATATAGTAAGCACCCCTTTGGCTCTGATCTTTTTCAAAGACAAGTGAGCAAATGCAAATGGATTACTGAATCTATCTCAATAATTTTTGATCAGGTAAGCAGCTTCTAGGTGCAAATCTATGAAAGGTTTGCCTTTCAGTGTGGTGTTTTCCACGTTATCAGACAGGTTATAGTTTCAAAGGTGAAAATAATTCTCTCAGTTTGGGAGGGCTTTAAATATATCATAATCAGGTAAAAAAATCTTTAGACAATTGATTTATATAAATTTTGTTTTAAGTTTATTTACTTTGAGAGAGACAGAGACAGCACAAGCAGGGGAGGGGCAGAGACAGAGGAGAGAGAAACCCAAGCAGGCTCCGTGATGTGAGCTTAGGGCCCGATGTGGGGCTCGAACTCATGAAATGTGAGATCATGACCTGAGCTGAAACTGAGGATCAGACGCTCAACCAACTGAGCCACCCAGGCACCCCTAGACAACTGATTTACTTCTGGACCCTTGTATTATTTATTTGGCTCTTTTCTTGGAGAGTAAAAAATAATTCTTAAAGTTTATCAATGATTCATTAATATTAGTATTGTTTCCCTAAACTAGATATAGCCTTAAAGAACTCACTAAACAGAATACTAATAGTATAAATTTAGAGGTGGGCCAACTTTTATGTGGAATATTTGACATCGATGACTTAGTTTTAAATTTAGCTGCTCTTTTTTAATATAATTTATTGTCAACTTGGCTAACATACAGTGTATATAGTGTGCTCTTGGTTTTGGGGGTAGATTCCCGTGATTCAACACTTGCGTAAAACACTCAGTGCTCATCCCAACAAGTGCCCTCTTCAATGCCCATCACCCATTTTCCCCTCTCTCCCACCTCCCAACTGTCAGATTGTTCTCTGTATTTAAGAGTCTCTTATGGCTTGCCTCCCACCCTCTCTGTTTGAAACTATTTTTTTCCCCTTCCCTTCCCCCATGGTCTTCTGTTAAGTTTCTCAAGTTCCACATATGAGTGAAAACATACGATATCTGTCTTTCTCTGACTGACTTACCTCACTTAACATAATACTCTCCAGTTCCATCCATGTTGCTGCAAATGGCAGGATTTCATTCTTTCTCATTGCCAAGTAGTATTCCATTGTACATCTAAACCACATCATCTTTATCCTTTCATCAGTTGGTGGACATTTAGGCTCTTTCCAGAATTTGGCTACTGTTGAAAGCACTGCTGTAAACATTGGGGTACATATGCCCCTATGCATCAGCACTCCTGTATCCTTCAGGTAAATTCCTAGCAGTGCTATTGCTGGGTCATAGGGTAGATCTATTTTCATTTTTTAAGGAACCTCCACACTGTTTTCCAGAGCGGCTGCACCAGTTTGCATTCCCACCAACAGTGCGAGAGGGCTCCCGTTTCTCCACATCCTCGCCAGCATCTGTTGTTGCCTGAGTTGTTAATGTTAGCCATTCTGACGGGTGTGAAGTGGTATCTCAGTGTGGTTTTGATTTGTATTTCCCTGATGATAAGTGATGTTGGGCATCTTTTCATGTGTCTGTTGGCCATCTAGATGTTTTCTTTAGAAAAGTGTCTATTCGTGTCTTCTGCCCATTTTTTTCACTGGATTATTTGTTTTTCGGGTGTTGAGTTTGGTAAATTCTTTATAGATTTTGGATATTAACCCTTTATCGGATATGTCATTTGCAAATATCTTTTCCCATTCCATCGGTTGCCTTTTAGTTTTGTTGATTGTTTCCTTTGCAGTGCAGAAGCTTTTTATCTTGATGAGGTCCCAGTAGTTCATTTTTGCTTTTATTTCCCTTGCCTTTGGAAACGTGTCAAGCAAAAATTGCTGCAGCTGAGGTCAAAGTGGTTGTTGCCTGTTTTCTCCTCTAGTGTTTTGATGGTTTCCTGTCTCACATTTAGCTCTTTCGTCCATTTTGAGTTTCTTTTTGTGTATGGTGTAAGAAAGTGGTCTAGTTTCATTCTTCTGCATGTTGCTATCCAGTTCTCCCAGCACCATTTGCTAATGACTGTCTTTTTCCCATTCGATACTCTTTCCTGTTTTGTCAAAAATTAGTTGGCCACCCATTTGTGGGTCCAATTCTGGGTTCTCTATTCCATTGGTCTATGTGTCTGTTTTTGTGCCAATACCATACTGTCTGGATGATTACAGCTTTGTAGTAGAGTAAATTTAGGTGTTCTTTAAATGAGGTAAATTGTGTGGAAGCACATAGTATAGGGGACATTGAGAACATGTCACATACAAATCTTGTGAGAATTTATAAATATTTTTGGGTGTTTTCACTTTATGAAAAATTATTTTTAAATTGCATGTCTAGAGCCCCTACTCAGTGCCATGCACCATATTGGATACTTTTCTATTCATGCATTATTTCTGATCCTCGCCACAGATCTGTAAGGGTGGGAGTTATTGATGCCATTTTATTAATAAGGCAGCTGGAACTCAGACTTTTAGTTAAATGACTTCTCAAGGCTCCCCAGTAATTAAGTGATTTGACCTTAGGTCTGTCTGATTCCAAAGCCTTTACTTTTTCCATCTACTAATTTCCTATTCTCCAAACATTTTCTTCCAAATAATAATTTCCCATCCTCTATTATAGCTACTTTTTAAATCTTCACTTGCCTCACTACTTACCCTTTTGATAGAAAATACTCCTCATGATGCTACTGCTAATTAATTTTGCAGAAGTTTTTGTTCACGTCCATGAAATCTATTATAACTAGCCTGAACTTTGAATGATATGAGCAGATTTGAAAGGATCTTTGCAAGATCTACTCCTTTGTCATAAAGACCTGTAAAAACCCAAGAATAAGGGTGTCTGGGTGGCTCAGTCGGTTGAGTGTCAGACTTTGGCTCTGGTCATGATCTTGCAGTTCATGAGTTTGAGCCCCACATCGGGCTCACTGCTGTCAGTGCCAGGCCCTCTTCGGATCCTCTGTCTCCCTCTCCTTTTGCCTCCCCCCCCCCCCCCCCCCCCCCCCCGTGCTCACACTCTTTCTCTCTCGAAAATAAACAAACATCAAAAAAAACAAGAATACATGCTATCATTTCTGATAAATATTTATTGAACATCTGCAATGCTTTGAGAGCTATTTGGTAGGCTGGAGATTCAAACATGAATAGAAGCTGGCCCTGACCTCCAAGGGTATTCATCCTAGAGGTGTGAACGTGAGACAGACATGTGAACAAAGAGCACAAAACATTGTGAAACACAGAACCCTAGAACATACACAAGGTATGGTGTATAGTGGAGGATAAACAAGTAAGGATAGGATTTGTTCGTTCAGGGAACGAACAATCTATATCCTATAGAGGATGGGATATATAAACAGTGCTTCTAAGCTTCTATGAAGAAATGTCTGCTACATTTTTTCTACTATGTTGAATGACTATCCCCTTTACAAGAGGTAAGCCTAGAGACCCTTACTCAAATCTATGTTTGACACCAGCATTAGCACTAACACCTTAGGTGGGTATTCAGTCAAGCGTGGGTTCTTTTTTCTTCTAAAATAATAACAACATTATTCATCCTGGTAGAGCAGCCTTATAACACATAACGAGTTCCTGCTAATTAAATATATTTGTGGAGCACTTGGGTGGCTCAGTCGGACATTAAGCCTCTGACTTTGGCTCAGGTCATGATCTCGCGGTCCGTGAGTTCGAGCCCCGCGTCAGCCTCTGTGCTGACATCAGAGCCTGGATCCTGCTCCAGATTCTGTGTCTCCCTCTCTCTCTGCCCCCCCACCTCAAAAATAAAGAATTTGTGGTTTCAGGTAAAAGATTTAAAGCTATATCATTGTTGAAAGTATGATCATTATTATTATTTTTATAAATACCACGATGGTGAGGTTAGCGATTGCAGTTTTTCTGCTTCCAAGATGAGGAAGATAAACATCATATATGGGAGGTGGTAACCCTTGGGGTCTAAAGCAGCAACAATCCTTCATGCCCTCCATGTCAGGTCTCAGAAAGAAATTCCCGTTATACATTTTAGGATAGAAATCCTAAATCCTTTTATTCTGTTCAGGAAGACGCTGTTCATAGTTACACTACCTGTCACCTTCTCTCTTCAAACAGGGGAGTTCATCAAAGCTCTGTACGAGTCAGATGAGAACTGTGAGGTGGAGCCCAGCAGGTGTTCCTCTAGTGAACTGATAGAGCATCAGAGCAACCTGAAAATGTGCTGTGAGCTGGCTTTCTGCAAGATCATCAACTCGTACTGGTGAGCAGGTGTCAGTGCCTCAGCCTCTGCTCATGGAACTTCAGTTTTTCCATGTAAAAGTCATCACAGTGTCAACTGTAGTATCTCCCACCCAGAGAAAGGGCTTAGGGGGAAGATGGAAAGTTTCCCTAATATAGTCCCCTCTGAAGTCCAAATCTCCACTGTAAGCAGAAGCACCTGTGAACTATCTACATAAATATAATATTTCCCCAGAATAGGAGGACCACGTCCTCTAATTCCCAAAGTATTTCAATGGCTTTCTGAAGTGTTTACCAGTGTTAGACAGTTGTGTTAATGATTTTTGATCATCGCTCCAACCCCTGCAATTGGTGAGATTTTGGAAGTTTTGAAGAACGCTCTTTAGAGAGATTATGGTAAGCTCTATTAAACCAGATGGTTCAGTCAGGAGCCTCATGCCATTTTCCTACGTTGCAAAACTAAATTTACACTAATCCCTGAGTTTTATGGCTGTGGGTTTCTGGTCTCCATCTGGGCTTCCGTGAATTTTCCACCAACTCGAAGCCATGAATCAGGCAGAATTCTCTCCACTAGGCTCTCCTCTTAGCCTGGCTCTAGAGCAGGTGCGTTGGGCCGGATGGGATCACTTGTGTCTTCTTGGGTTATGGTACTTTTGTATTTAGAGGTTTTGATTTTTTTTCCTTCCCCAGTGTTTTCCCTCGTGAGTTGAAAGAAGTGTTTGCATCATGGAAGCAGCAGTGCCTGAACCGTGGCAAGCAGGACATCAGCGAGCGGCTCATCAGTGCCTCGTTATTTCTGCGTTTTCTGTGCCCAGCCATTATGTCTCCCAGTCTTTTCAACCTGATGCAGGAGTATCCTGATGACCGCACGTCTCGGACTCTGACTCTAATTGCCAAGGTCATTCAGAACCTGGCTAACTTTGCCAAGTAGGTGTCACTGCTATAAGCACTTTTAAAAACATTGTTTAAAAAAAATACGTGACACCTAAAATTTGGATGGGGGTGGGGAGCCTCATCACTCGTATTACAAGATTTTCGTTATAGTGGTATTCAACATAGAAGAAAGAAGAAACAGCTTAATATTCACTTTACAGAGGAATGGTTCAGTAACCTATGGTACATGCATTCAGTAGAATATTTGCAGCCACTACAGTGTTCACCAAAAATGTCCAATAATACGGAAAATGATGCAGATACAATTATACTATGGAAAGTGCTATTCAAAACTTGAGCAAAAAAGAAAAAGGATACTAGAAGATACATATGCTGTTATTCCAGAAATATGTTAATACAAAAACTAAAGTATAAAACGTTAGGAGAAACCATCTGACAAACTCAGTGGTTACATTATCTAAGACAATTGGCCTGGCCCCTTCAAAGAAAAAAGTCAATGTCATGAAAAATTGAAAAGATCGAGAGGGACTATTCTAGATTTTAAAAGACTGCAATGCTTGAATCTTAACTGGATCTGAACTGGGAAAAAAAAAATCTATAAGTCATTTTGGGGACAATTAAATGTGGACTATATATAAGATGATTTAAAAGTTTTAGCGTGATAATAGCATTGGTTTATGTAAGAGATGTTCCTTATTCTGAAGAAATGAGTGCTAATGTATTTAGAGTTTATGTCTGCAACTTAGTTTAAAATGGTTCAGCAAAAAAAAAAAAAAGTATGTAGAGAGAAAGTGAAAGCAAACTTGGCAAAATGTTAGCAGTGGGTTAATGTAGAGGAATGGCATATGGTTGTTTGTTGTATACTCTTTCAACTTTTATATAGGTTTAAAATGTTTTAAAAAGGGAGTTAGAAAACCACTGGGGAGGAAATGCTCTCACATGTAAACAGCAGCTATGTTTGGGTGGTAGAGTGTGTCCACTCACACTCTTTTCTTGCCACTCTTCATTGTTTCCAAAAAAGACAAGATTCTCTATTAGCAGCGTATTGAAGGAAGAAAGTGGAACTTCAATGAGACAGATTGTTTTCTAGTGTAAATATTGGCTTTTTGGAAGTGTACTATTTTAACTTTGTGTACCCTATATTTACAGCAGCACAGAAATAGACATATTTACCCATATTTGAGCTAATTCTGCTAAAAATTACTTCTAGCTTATTTTGAAAGAAATTTTCTGGGCTGAAGATACCTAGAATTTAGATGGGCAAAGAAGAGAGGTTCTTCTCTAGCAAAAATAAATAGCATGTAGTGCACACAGGCTTGGAGAAGCGGCATATATCTGGGAGACTCTGAAGAAGCTAGCAATATTGAAGGCTTGTACCGATGAGCATGTGGTAGGCAAACGAAGGTTATTTACAGAGAGCTCTGGATACCAGAAAAAAGAGAGTTAGCTTTCGCCAACAGAGACTAGAAGGCTATGCAAAGTATTTGATTGTTACATCAGTATTAGGAAAGTATGTTTTAGGGGCGCCTGGGTGGCTCAGTCGGTTAAGCGTCCGACTTCGGCTCAGGTCACGATCTCGCGGTCCGTGAGTTCGAGCCCCGCGTCGGGCTCTGTGCTGACTGCTCAGAGCCTGGAGCCTGTTTCAGATTCTGTGTCTCCCTCTCTCTCTGCCCCTCCCCCGTTCATGCTCTGTCTCTCTCTGTCCCAAAAATAAATAAACGTTAAAAAAAAAAAGGAAAGTATGTTTTAGCATTTATCACTTAGCAGATTATAAATTAGTCACTTACCTCCCCAAAATAAAAATAAAAAAGTTAAAGCTCAGTGTAAAGTCAACTCAGACATCTCTTTTCCTGAATATGTCCTTTCTCATTTTCTCTCCCTCTACTTCAGATTTGGTAACAAAGAAGAATATATGGCATTCATGAATGATTTTTTAGAACATGAATGGGGTGGAATGAAGCGCTTTCTTTTGGAGATCTCTAATCCGGACACCATCTCGAACACGCCAGGCTTTGATGGTTACATTGATCTGGGCCGAGAGCTTTCAGTTTTGCATTCCTTACTGTGGGAAGTAGTTTCCCAACTTGATAAGGTAAAGTAGGCTGGAAGCATAATGGGAGATGGGAGATAGAGAATGTTAATGTACCTAGATTCTGGGAAGTATCCACAGAGTGACAGCCTTCACGCTTCCTGCTAGTCGAAAACGACCTTTTGTGCTAGAAGTCTGGGAGTAAATAGCTATCAATTCTGCATCAAATACGTGCCCTCCAAACCAGGAACTTCTAGAAAGCCATGAGATTATTCACATATATTTTTAAGAAATTAGCTGAATTAATGGAGTATATATTTCTATAAATACATACATATATGTATATAACATTATATATAGCATGTCTAAAACCTTGCCTGGAAACTCACATCAAATATTGCCATACGCAGGTTTATTCATGTATAAGCAGGATGAGATAAAACCTCATAATAATCCTAACAAAAGTGTGGACTTGGAAAAATACTGAGACTATTATGTTTAAGTGGTTTAACTCATGAGATTTTTTTTTTTTTTTTTATTCTGCAAGTCAGAGGGTTCAATGTTACTATTAGTACTACGGAGTTGCATGGGATCTGAAAATCCTGATGTTTTCTTTTTCTACAGATGTGAATTTTAAAAACAGAAAATACTATTTTTAATCATTTATTTTCTGAGTGTAAGCTAAGAATCTTGTTATATACCATATTAGTAACTAAATACATACCATGCCAATCATTTGCTTCCTTCTGGAATTTTTCAAAGAGGAATCAAATTTATAATGGAAAATAGTCTTAGACTCTGGCTAGGTTTATCACAATAATTATTTATTGATGTTTTTGTTTGCTACAGGTACTTCATAAATAGGTGTGGTGGTATGTTAGAATAACTTCAAAAGCAAAGTTATTTTTTTGTGATAAGAATGTATTTGTTTTCCTCCACTTTCCTATTACCCTTAAAAATGTTGTACCGATAAAATGGGGGAGGGGAGTAAAACCTATTAATAAAGACCACTTTCCTGAGGCAATGTAAATGGTAGGGTGTCCTACCATTTGTAAAATAGTAAACTCTTATTCTTGAGGGCCCCTTCTTCACTTGTAGGAGTACTAGCTAGATTTTGAGTTGCAGCTATGCTGAGGTAAATTCCTTGAATACAAATCATGGCTCAAGAAAGTTGAGCAGGTAAAGGCTATTCTTGAGGTGGCGTTTGAGTGCCCATTCTACCCATTGGAGCAGAGTTGAAGAGACTTGGTTGTTGAGAAGACAAAGGAGACCCAGAGGCAGTCTTGTAGAACTGCCCTAGAGTTGAAGGGTCCCAAAGGACTCCATAAGAATAAGAACTCCCCCAAAGAAAAAAAATGATTGAGATGGATAAATCCAATACTAAGAAGCTACTCTTTGTTGAATAACTGCATCGGTGGGATGCGGATACAGTAATCTCGTGAAATAGGCCTGGTTGATTTTGGGCTGAGGTCCTTTCAACAGGCTTTGCTATGTAAACATGCTTTGTCCTTTTTAATCTGTGTTTAGTCCTGGGAACCAGGGGTAAATCTAGACATATCTCACAGAGTTTACCTGCTTTTGCTGTTTAAAAAAAGATTGTCTTGCTGATGCAAACCCAGTTGACAATAGGTCAGAGTTCCCTAAAGGAAATGGGATAGTAGATGGCAGTATATCATCTGTGTTCCCTGAAGTGCTCCAGACCCCTGAATGCAACACCTTCCTGTATGTTGGCATGCATTTCTTTTCTCACATGATGCCTTTTCTTTGGAAGTTTCATCACACTAGCCGATCCTCTGGTCTCGAAGTCCTTTGGTTAGAAGGTGTTTGGTTCTTCCCCTACCCTCCCCCACCTTGATCTACTAGCCTTCCAAAGATTTAGTTTGCTTTGCATGCCTATTTTAGTTGGAATGGCAATAGTTTGGTTGTTTTGAGCATGTCTTTTAATTTTTATTTGCATAATCCTAATTTCTATTTCCTTTCTTTCCTCGATGTCTGCTGCACCTTGTTTCGCCTCCTCCATTCATCTCGACGCCATGGTTCTGCTGCTCCATAACAATGCATTATGAACCTGCCACTCCCATATGCAAACACCTACCCTTCCCTCCAACCTACACCCCTCCATCAATGGGCATCGTTGTCCCAAAAACAATCCTTGGTGGATGTCGCAATGCTTATTATCCAATTAGGGTGAAAATTCCTTCCTACAGGCGACCGTGGCAAAATTGGGACCTCTCCCTCGAGTTCTTGCTGATATTACCAAGTCTCTGACTAATCCTACACCAATACAACAGCAACTAAGACGCTTCACTGAGCATAACTCCAGTCCAAATGTCAGTGGAAGCCTCTCCTCTGGGCTGCAGAAAATATTCGAAGACCCCACTGACAGGTATGAAACAGAGAATTTAAATAAACTGTTGTCTCAGGGAGAGGTGATGTTTAGAGACTTGGCAGAAATCTATTTATTTGTTGAATTTATAACTTGGAAGTCATGATCAGTTGGAAAAAACATCTGACCTGAGATACATCCAATTGTTTGTCCTAATAATACACAGGATCTAGGATTCTTATTTTCTACAGTGATACTATAGAGTTATAATATGTTCAGCAAACATTGTTTAAAAATCTAGGTCCGGCTTAATGGAAGACTAAGGGCTTTGAAATTTCTATTTCCATATATTGTAGCACTCAAAACTCTGGAGAACCTCCGTTAAAATCACTTTATGGCTGGCGGTGTCAGCCGGATAGGCAGATACAACGTTGATGCTCACACTGACTCTCTTTTCTGGATTGGCAAGACTTGGGCCTTTAGCAGTGACCCTTTGGTTGTACCTCAGCCCTGCTTCCTCCTCTTGAAGGTTTAGACAGAAGCAATTAACTGTGAATCAGAATATTTGGGAGGGTTTAAAGCCTAACTAGGATATGACTAGAATTCTAGCAGAAACTGAAGACAATGATGAGGAGGTAAGCACAGCGTTATTCCCCACCTTTGGAGAGAAACTAAAAATGTTGGATTTTAAAGAATTGTAACGATGAAATCTGGGTTTAGAAACCAATGTAAGTATCCACATTGGGACTGTGAGCCTTTGGAATGTTCATATGCCTGGGTTGAAAAAACTGTTTTGAATTTGCCCCAGGAGTAATTAAGGGTCCTCTCCTTTTCCACAGTGATTTGCATAAACTAAAATCTCCAAGCCAGGACAACACTGATAGCTACTTCAGAGGGAAAACATTACTGCTGGTGCAGCAGGCGTCCTCCCAGAGCATGACTTACTCTGAAAAGGATGAGAAGGAAAGTAGCCTTCCTAACGGTCGGAGCATCTCCCTCATGGACCTTCAGGACACTCACGCTGCTCAAGTGGAGCATGCACCTGTCATGCTCGATGTGCCTATGCGCTTAACCGGAAGCCAGCTTTCCATAACCCAGGTGGCCAGCATCAAACAACTGCGGGAAACCCAGAGCACTCCCCAGAGCGCACCCCAAGTGAGAAGGCCCCTGCACCCGGCCTTGAACCAGCCAGGCAGCCTCCAGCCCTTGTCATTCCAGAACCCTGTCTATCACCTCAATAACCCAATTCCGGCAATGCCAAAGGCCTCTGTGGATTCCAGTTTGGAGAACCTAAGCACTGCCAGTTCCAGAAGCCAAAGTAACAGTGAGGATTTCAAACTCAGCGGGCCCAGCAATAGCAGCATGGAAGATTTCACCAAACGCAGCACCCAGAGCGAGGATTTCTCCAGGCGGCATACTGTGCCAGACAGACACATACCTCTTGCTCTGCCACGGCAGAATAGTACCGGGCAGGCCCAGATCCGGAAAATGGACCAGGCTGGGTTAGGTGCCCGAGCCAAAGCCCCGCCATCCCTGCCACATAGTGCTTCCTTACGTAGCACGGGGAGCATGTCGGTGGCCTCTGCAGCCCTCATGGCCGAACCTGTGCAGAATGGGAGCCGGTCCCGGCAGCAGTCTTCCTCCTCCAGAGAGAGCCCTGTTCCCAAAGTGAGAGCGATCCAGAGACAACAAACACAGCAGGTAGGGGGGAGAGCTGGAGGGGTGTGGCTCCCACTTATCCAACTGCTTCCCTGGTTCTTTGTATATAAATCATTAGGAAATCCAATTTCTAGCAACATTTCCACTTAAAAATATGTTCTGCAACTTTTTTTTAGTGCTTGTTTATTTATCTTGAAAGAGAATGTGTGTGTGTGTGTGTGCGCGCGCGCGCATGTGCGTGCAAAAAGGACCAGAGAAGGAGAGAGAGAAACCCAAGCAGGCTCCACACTGTCAGCACAGAGCCCAGCACAGAGCTTGATCCCACCAACTTGTGAGGTCACGACCTGAGCCAAAATCAAGAGTTGGACGCTTCAATGACTGAGCCACTGAGACACCCAGATGCCTCTATTTTCTGCAGCTTTTTTTAAAGTTTATTTATGTTGAGAGAGAGAGAAGGCACACGTGGGAGATGGGCAGAGAGAGAGGGAGAGAGAGAATCCCAAGCAGGCTCTGTACCATAAGTGTGGAGCCCTGATGTAGGGCTTGAACTCACGAACTGTGAGATCATGACCTCAGCCGGTGTCGGACCCTTAACCGACTGAGCCACCCAGGAGCCCCATTTTCACCAACTTTTAGATGGAGAGAGGAAATGCAAGGTCTGGGAGGCTTCTGCTTAGGTGAGGCTGCAGAAAGTAGCTTGACTCATTACCCTCAGGAGACTATCAACCACACAAAGAGCTTTTCCTTCCCTTCAAGCAGCTGAGCCACTACCTATGTGTGCACTGGGAACAGATCGGTGTTGCATGAATAATTAGAACACATACACTGTGAAACCTATAGGCCAGATGAACCATAATATATTTTGGGAATCTGGACCCTTAATCCTCAATTTTTTTCCCCTACAGTTTCCAGAATAAACTTTCGCATTCCGAGTCAAACATTTAATGTAACTGCTCTCTATTCCATCCCCCACCTCCCTCTGGAAATAATAAGTCCCCTGTGCCTTTTCCTGGAAATGACTAGAAAAATAAACAACTGAGCACCTATAAAGACAAGGTAAAGGAGAGAGGTAAAAAGATAGAAACACAGGCGGTTGACAGTGCTGTAAACATTTCCAAATCCCTTCTATTTCTATTTGCATGGGTAAGCCTAGCTAGTGTCACACCCAGTCTTAAGACTTCTGGGCTTCTTTCTTGACAAATAAAAAGTTTTCCCGAGAATTTGATCACTCGTGTCTTCCCTACCTAATACATTTTCAGGCACCAATACATATTTTGCTTTTTGAAGCAAACTAATAACCTGAGGAAATCATGTATAGGTATATATTTAATCTTTCATCTAAAAAAGATTTTTCTCCTTTGTATTTGCTGACCTTTCTTTGAAACCTGATCATACTATATGAGTACTAGGGAGCTTTGTGACTGGAAGAGTTCTATGCCACATCCTTTTGTCAGCAAAACCACTGGTCAGAGAAGACTGCCATAAAACCCCAATGTATCTTTTTCATATATTTGCTCTTTATAGGTAGGCATTTACCGATTTGGCTGTTTCTGCTGCTACTCCGCTGTGATCAGAGCCCTTGCCCCTAGCTTGATCGTTACTGTTTAAAAAAAATAACAAAATTAGAACATTGACAGAATCCTGGGATACAGAGGTAAAGGAAGAGTTGAAAAGTACGACTAACTTAAGTTGCTTCCCGCAACCAGCTTCCTAGGCAGAGCCTCCCAGTAGGTCCTTCTTTCCAGAGAAATTAAGTTTTCCTTCAGTCTTAAATTTTTCATTTTTATTTGGCTTATATTTCCCCAAATTTCACCAATTCATTTGATTTAATAAGCATTTTCATCTAAAGAGAAGGAAAGAAGAGTAGATACAATGAAAATGCTTATGTGTCGCTATATCTTTCATATGTATGTCAAATTATGTCATATATATTCTCTTAATCTGTTTGTTGGAAGGCAGTCCTTCTTACCTTATTGCGGTCTTTTCCACATGTTGCTTTTCTGCTAGCTTCTAGTTGAGGCCAACCACTTTCAGAGAAATGAAGTGTTTACTGAGAGGAGAAAAGAAAGATAAGGAATTTTGGAGATGGAGTGCTGGGTGGAGGCAGACATCCACGCAGGGGTCTAAGTGCAGCATGGGGGCCCTGAACATGAGAAGAATCTCAGATTGGCAGAGAGGGACAGGACAACGGAAAGGGCCCTCCAACCTGCTTTTCAAAAGCTGGCCCGGGCCCAGCCCTGGACAGAAAAAAGGAATGCTAACCCCTTCCCCTATTTGATATAGTCCTCAGTTCTCAGGGTGTGTGACTCAGACTGATGGTTTATAAATATTTTAAATTAAATGGCCTTCTGAGTGATCATCTGGAACCAGGTATCATTTATAATACTCAGGTATAAGAAAATGTAGCACCTGTCACACAAGCAGTTAGTACAGTTTCTCTGGGTGAAGAGAAGGCTGTCTTGGGTAGATGGGAGGTAGGAAATGGATATGGTCTCCCAACAACCAACTTAAAAACGTTTTGTGCCACAGCCATGAATGAACTGGGGTATGCCTGTGTTATATTGGCACATGAGGCACAGACACCATGAAGTGGCCTCACACGGCTTTAAATATTCACCTCTGTTTATGCCTTCGCTGGTAGTGCCACCGTCGTATCAGTTAAAGCATAAATCACCGTATTTTTATTGCTCAAGTTTCTGGTTTTTCTACACTCGCTCTTTCTATGCAGATGGTTTATTCTTTCAAACTTATGTTGTTATTTTCTATTCCTTATCTTTCCGTTTCTTGCTTTTCTCCTCTCCCGTGAAGCCTCTGAATTTCTACATAATCAGCGCATTTTTGGCAAATTCCTTTACATATTGTAATTGCAAATTGTGTTGGGGAATTCTTCTCTCCCAAAAACTAGAGGATTTCTTTGTGGGGATTGTTCTGTAGGCGTGTGTAATTATCAGCGGCTTTGTCCCATGCAAATTCCATCTGTATCTTAGCACAAAGGAACGGCCATTGTTGGCAGGCTTACTAGCTTTGGTCTTCTCCATGTACGTACTGAGTAGGAAGGAAACAAAATCCTAGTGAAACAATCTACAGAGAAGAGATTTCTTTTTTTCGGGAAGCTGCCTTCAATTTTTTTTTTACCCTTCTCAGCCTCTCTTTGGATTCTCCCCTCTCATTTCCCTGTCCGTTTTGTTTTCCATGTATCATGTACTCCCTGTGTATAATAGACTGTATGTATAATGTATGTGTTCAGATATAGCGTGTTACATAACCTCAAAAATTCAAATTTGAAGAGACTTTTAAAATAGGTATCTGACAAGCCTGTTGGAATGATGCTCCAGCTTTCACATTCAGATATGTTGAACCCTCTCCTAACCAACCTCTTCAAGAACCCTCAGAGTATACTTGTTTAGTCAGCCCTTTCTTTGGTGTAGACCGCAGAAGTGCTGTTCATTATGAGAACCTGACTGAACCTGACTGGTGCAGACTTTGGAGAAGCTGAAACCAACGAGTCTTATTTATATCTAGTAAATACTAGCAAGGGACAGGGAGCTGGCCTGTTCATTGTCCTCAGCATAGCCAGGCTATGACTAATTATAGGCTCGGAGAAACTGCCATCTCAGGCCCTTTTGCCCTAAAGCATTGGTATTTTTCCCAGAGAAACCCTATACAGCTTTATCTCAAAGGGGAGACAGTCCTGGTAGGAAATCCTGCTGCTTTTCTTTTTGTCTTTTTCATCCTTCATTTTCTTTAACGATCCGCTGTTGAAAGTCAGTGGATACAAATACTCTTCCTAAGGCTATAGCTAAGCAAAAGGGGATTTGAAGCACTTACCAACATCTTTTCCCAATCTCTTTGACTATAAACTAGAGGTAATAAATTTTGCTATCTTGGCCAGCTTGTAAAGGAGATGCAACAATCATCGAAGAAAAAGCCTTTGATGCACTTCCAAAGGATTAGAGGAAAAGACATACATACATTAGCTTTCTCTTAGTAATACATTATACTTTAGTAATGAATTCTAAAGAGAACCAGAGTATTCATAAGTGAATAATATTTTATTGAGCATCTATTATGCAATTACATAGTCACTACCATTCAAAGAATGCTATATATAATATGCCCTGCCTCAAGGATTGATGATCTAATTGGGAAATACGACCAGCGCACACGAGACCAATAGAAAAAAATGTAAGAGACGGTGTATAGTTTTTAAAATAAAGAAACCAAAAAACCACCTCTATTTTTGATGTGTTCAATATTACTTTTCTGTTCTTTATAATTTTTTAAATGTTTTACCATGAATACAAGGAATAGTTAATATTCTTTTCAACACCTATTGACCACCTACTGCTATGCAGAGTGCTTGGATATATTAGGAAGTGGTTGAAAATCAGAATTAACCAGTACAATAGGAATAGACCCAAATGCCCAATTCTATCATACAATCTCTTAAAATTCATTGGACATTCTTAGTCTTTCTGAAGATATGGTAGCTACCACCATCACCAGTGGAAGAGCCAAGCTCGTTTTACAACTAGTCAAAGCCTAGATTGTGCTAAGGAGTCGTTGTTCTAATACCCTTTTAGGGGCTGAGATCGCTCCTTAGTGTGTTCTAGGAATATCTTTAGTGTGCATGTATAGGCACCCAATATATAGATAGCCCATAACAAATTACAGGGAAAGAAAGTTCATTCAACCAACATCTTGTTAACTAGATAAAACGGAAAGCTATTGAATTAGCTGCCTTTAAGTAATAAATTCCAAACAGTAAAGTTGTTATTAGTTTTAGTACCTACTTTATCTCAAACTGCTATTGAATAGAAAATCCTGGTTTCACAGAAAAGCAGCTTTTCTCTGCCCTGTGTGCTAAAGTGATAAGATCATGAAATTAAAAAGGCATTTGTCTCCTTTAAATATTGGCTTTCTATTAATTTTTTCAAACCCATAACCGCATTATTTTGCCTTTCAGGTGTATATATATCAAAAAAAAAAAAAAAAAAAAAAAAAAAAAAAAAAAAAAAAAAAAAACCCTAAACCTCTTGTAAAACTATTTTTCTCTGCCAATGGTGAAGCAGTTTATTGTGCTCTGCTTTTAAAGTCCAGTAGGGGGAGGGCGCCTGGGTGGCGCAGTCGGTTAAGCGTCCGACTTCAGCCAGGTCACGATCTCGCCGGTCAGCAAAGTTCCCGAGCCCCACACCCACATCAGGCTCTGGGCTGATGAAAACCAGACCTGGAGCCTGTTTCGATTCTGTGTCTCCCTCTCTCCTCTGCCCCTCCCCCGTTCATGCTCTGTCTCTCTCTGTCCCAAAATAAATAAAAAAACGTTGAAAAAAAAAATTAAAAAAAAAAAAAAAAAGTAAAGTCCAGTAGGGGGAGAACTAATGGGTGTGTGTGCATGTGTGTGTAAGGTACCTTGCCATTTACAAAATGCTTTTCCATGTGGACTCATTTGCTTCTTATAATAATTTTTCATGTGGATAATTACTACCTTCCACTATAGATGATACTCTGTCCTCTGTCCTATAGGCCAGTATTTCTAAAGTGTGATGCTCAAAATTATTTAAGTATACATGATGTCTGTTTAATTACTCATGTAATTCATTATTTTAACACATATTAGAAAAATATATGACTATCAGTATTAATAAATATTTATAAATATATAACCTCAAAGTCATGATTTTACTGATATTATTGTTTAGCATAAGGACTTAGCTAACTGGAAAAGGTCTTTTTAAAAAGATAATTAATAATATATCAGTGAAATGTTATGACAAAAATAATAAAGTGATAAATGAATGAAGTATAAGAAACATAACCTACATACCAGAGTGGAGATGGAGACATGTTTACATGCTCCTTGACACAGTGGAGAAATTGATTTTAAAGGAGGAACTTCTAGCTCGAAGTCCATTAACAACTGCTTATGTGTGCATCAGGCGTGATGCCACTTTTTACTGATGTATATCTGTAATCTCTTTGTAAATCAGCCAGACCAGGTTCTGCTTCAAACCTTTAAGAAACACCCTGATATTACTTGTTTTGTGTATTTTGCAGTTTATCCCAACCTGTCTTTGATAACCTTTTAGTCTCTGCAGCCAGTATTTTTCATCTAGTCTTTCTAAATTGCAAAGTCATCAAAATACCCCTTCTTTTAAAATAGCTGTCGATTTAGAGTTTAACTGGATTCTATTTCAGAATGACATAAAGATAATCTTAAGGTAGATAGCCTTTTTAGAATTAAAATAGGTTTCTATTTTGAGGACCAATGCTCCATAATCCCATAACTGAAAGGAATTTTCTCTCCCATACAGAGCTGGCTCACATACGGTGCTTTGTTCCCGCACTATCTCTCTCTCTCTCCCTTCCTGCCTCCCTTGTTCTCTTTCTCTCTCAAGCATACTGGAGAAAAAGAGTTTGTTTTATATTTCTAGCATTGTAGAGAAAGTACTAATGTTAAGTAAGCTAATATAAATTGTAATATCCAATGCTAGTTTTCTAAACATCGATATGATAATATCCAAGCTCTGTAGTACTCTGTAGTTTGCAAAGAACTTTCACATACATTATATGACTCAATCCCTACAACTCCCTATGAGATACTAGGATGGGTGGTGATGGTGATGGTGGTAATATCTAATCGGTGAGATTAAGAAAAGAGTATTGAAGAGATTAAGGGACTGTTTAAATGGCAGAGTAGCTACTTAAGACCAGAATTCCTATCACTCTAGTATATCAGTATTGGAAAAGGGCACTTTATCTGGCTATCCTAACTGGATTGAAATATCCCTTAAACAAATCCAATATCTTTTGTTTTGATCCTGTATTCTTCAAGAAACTGTCTGGTCTAAAATATAGACTTCTGAGTGGTGTTAACTCATTAAGAAGTCCACACTCTGTAAAAATGACCAACATCACTTGTTTTTTCTCTTTCTCTAAATGATTAATGTGAAAATTAAGGATTGGCATTCTGATACATAAATGGGTACCTTGTGAGCTTGTTCGTCTCTGGGTTGAACAGCCATTTCCTCAGTTGAGCAGCCAACCATTGAGTCATGCCTTTTCTCTCATTCTGTCATCATTGTAATTTCATTGGTAATTGAACCACTGGAGTAATGAACAATTTTAAGGCTGTGGCTCTCTTTTCTTGGATGTGATGCATAGGAATTTCTATTCAGAATAGTGTATTCTTCTACAAGGAGATATTCTCATTCTTCACCTCCAGCCCTGTCATTAATAAAATATTACTTAGAACTGAGAGCATTTATTAGATCACTGTTATGACCTCCAAGAAGAACTCCCTTTGTGAAACCTAACTAGTGGACGAGCTGTTTGGGGAGATGCTAATAAGTGTTTCTGATGCAGGTTCAGTCACCTGTGGACTCTGCCACAATGTCCCCAGTAGAGAGGACAGCAGCCTGGGTTCTGAACAATGGACAATATGAAGAGGATGTGGAAGAAACTGAGCAAAATCAAGATGAATCCAAGCATGCTGAGAAGGTAGAACTCGCCCATCTTTACTAACTTGCTGGCCCCACAGTGAGAGCCCATCCGAGGGGTCGTCTAGCCACGAACTTGAGCTCTTCACCCCCAACAGTGTCAACTCCATATCTTATGTTATCCATCATATCCGTATCTGTATGACAGTTCAGTAGTGTCTATGTGTGAAAATCTGCAGCAAATGTCCAGCAGCCTGGGGTGGGAGATTTCATTTTCCTTTTATGTAGGTTAACTTAATTTGCAAAACATTCTACTGTTCCTTTCTTATCATTGTAGGTGAATATTTAGTGTTTCTATAAACCTGTTGCTAGTCTTCAACCAAGGCCAAAATTACCCTTGGACCAGACTTCCTTTCCATGTCTTGTTAATGATTTTGTCTTTTTTTTTTTTCTTCTTCTTCTTCTTTTTGCTTTTTCTGGAAAAAGAACTTCCAGTTTTATATCGATTTTTAAGCGGACATTATCTATTATTTCTGTTTTGTTTTGAGGAAAAGTTGACACGGGAAGAAGGGATCAAGAACCTTGACACCTTGTGTGGCATTCTCTCATTTCATTAACAACCACACAACTAGTTACTTATCAGCATGATGTTAAAATCCGAAAATCACACACAGAATCCTAAAATATGCTTATTGATGCAGTCTCCCTTTTCATACTGTCATTAAAACTGTCATCTTTGACCTGGATTAACAAATACAGTTTAGGATCGTGAGGTTGAGTAAGCAGAAGCTAACTGCTTGATCATCCATTAACTTGATATTATGTGAAAATAGATTGCATCTTACACAGCACCGTAGGGATTTATCATGAATTGAAGTCGACCATATACGAGACATCCTATGCGTCTCACTTCACCTAGAGATGTGCCGTTCCAGTATACTCAGACCCCAGCCACTGCAATATCAGTATAGAAAGGGGCCATGTAACCAATTGAATGATAGTTTGTAATATAAAGCTTTAGTTTACATAAATTTATATAAAGCTTTAGTGAGAAAACAGACAAACGAGTTCCAGGAAGCAGTACCAAATTGAGCAGATGAACCACATCATGAAAATGGGCCAAGATTCAGTATTCGTCAGCCCTGGAGAGTGTGTAGGCCTTTGGCTTAGTGCTTGTGACCTGAATATTTTATACTCCGACAGTCGGGGAGAGAGCGGCAACAGCTTACTTTGCTATTTCAGATTCTGTTTATTGATTCAGTAGCGTAACATTGTAGAAATGTTGCCTGTTCTCTGAAGGGCTGATTCTGGTAGAGTGAAGACGTGACGGTCTGCCGAGCCAGGCTATGTCGGAGATCCTAGGGTGCAGGTGGTGATCCAGAAACCGCTCCTCTGGTAGACCGCCGGCTTTTGGCTTATTTTAAGTGATTCGTCAGGCTTCTATGTACTGGTTCTTTTTTTTTTTTTTTTT